CGACGCTGAAGCTATCGTCTGCAAGGTAAAAGTTCTATTTCGACCAAGCGTACCGTTGGCCAAGCTGATTTCAATGGAGCGTGCTGTTCTGGTTAAAACAGATAAATTCCCTCACACATCTCTCTGTAAGATAAATCTCAATTTTCCATCTTTAAACTCTCCTTTCTGCTAGAAAGTTAATCCAGATGTTTTCATTAATGTCTGTGGTGAAGCAACGGAAAACCATGGCCGTATGGTTTCCTGGTTGTAAAAACTGATTAATTATGTTGTTGTTTTTTTCATATTCTGCCAAATTAATGTAAATGTTTGATGTTAAACTTTGATTCTGTAAAATAAATGACCGCATTCATTTTGACGGGTCAAAGAAAAATGACGTCTCACGTTACATTTCATTAAATTCAATGCACGTTTTATCCAGTCCAGAAAGATGAGTGAACCCGTTTAATGTATGAATATATCTCAGGATATGTCATACTACACCTGTGATCTTTTTCATCCCTGACCACACCTCTCTGACATTGTTCTGTTGGAGCTTGTTCTCCAGCTTCTTCTTGTACACCTCCTTGCTGTTTCTGATCTTGACTTTTAGTTGCTTCTGTGTACTCCTCAATAATTCCCTGTCTCCCTCCCTGAAGGCTCTTTTTTCTGGTTTAGCAGCTCCTTCAGGTCAGTGGTGATCCAGGGTTTGTTATTGGGGAAGCATCTTACTGTTCTGGTGGGGATGGTGTTGTTTACACAGAGGTTTATATAGTCAGTCACACACTCAGTCATGGCATTGATGTCCTCTCCATGTGGCTGGCACAGTGCATCCCAGTCTGTAGCCTCAAAACAACCCCGCAGGGCTTCTTCAGCTTTCATTGACCATTTGCTCACTGTTATCTTTATTACAGGTTGTCTCTGAACAAGGGGTTTATATTTTGAGCAGAGAAACACAAGATTGTGATCTGATTTGCCAAGAGGGGGGTCTTGCTTTAACTATGTATGAATCCTTGACATTTGCATAAAACAAGTCCAGCGTTTTGTTTTCTCTGGTAGAGCAGCTGACAAACTGTTGGAATGTCGAAAGTGTAGCAGAGAGAGAGAGACATGATTAAAATCATCAGATATTGCAACAAACGCACTAGGGTGTTGTGTCTGTAGCTTAGCTACCTCGGAGCTGATGACATCACACGCAGTATTGGCAACAGCATTGGGTGGAATGTAAACAGTTGCCAAAATAACACTGGTGAACTCTCTTGGCAAATAATGTGGATGACAACTTAGGGCTAACAGTTCAATATCTGGACTGCAGAGACGACACTTCACAGTAACATGTCCAGGATTACACCATCTGTTGTTCACAAGCACTTTCAACCCACCTCCTTTTTCTTTGCCACTCCTCTTAAAATCTCTATCTGCTCGTATGGTCAGAAAGCCTAGCAAAGAAACGCTGGAGTTGGGGATATGATCTTGCAGCCTTGTCTCAGTGAAACACGTAACACTGCATTCCCGATACTCTGGATGGGGCCTTGTTAGGGTCTGAAGTTCATCCAACTTGTTTCCCAGTGATCTCACATTGCCCATCATGATCGATGGAAGAGATGGTTTTAACTTCATTCTTCTCTCTTTTCTTTGCTCCTGCTCTGCATCCACGATGCCTCCTTTTCAACTCATTTGGGATTTGGGGCTGTAGTTGAGATATTATTTGAGCTTTGGAGATGTTAATCAGCTGGTGCCGGTTGTAAAAAAACAACCTTGTTGTTATGGTTACGTATCATAACAAATGTCCAAAAGCAAAGATATTTCTGTAAAAATCCTTCCAGCTGCACAGCATCTGACACCAGAGGAAATAATCATCCAAAAAAGTGATTTATATCCAGAAAAAAAGAGGAATTAAAGTTTTCAAAATAATATCTCAGAATGAAAGTAACAGAGCTACTCCAACATGCAGCCACCTTGAGCGGCGCAATTCTAGAAATTAATTAATAATTAATTAAATAATCTCGAAGTTAGCAGCTAACTGAAAAAAGTAGACAATATATAAAATGTTAAAACTGAGAAATTCTATTTGCCTGCTCCAGAAAGGCTGATATAGTAGCCTATCTTAAATCGTGTTGTTCATTTTAAACAAATGGCATTTTCTTCACGACGTTCAAGGTTCAAAGTGACTTTATTGTCATTCGCATCACGTTTGTAAATGAGGTGGAACGAAATTGTGTACTCAAGGTCTCAGTTACACCCAAAAATAGCAAAAATATAAAGTATACATAAAAAAACTTATACAAGGATCTAAGATACACACTAAACAATAATAATACGGAGTATTGAACAGCAGCCTGAACATGAGTCTGTTGTGAGCAGATAGATACGAATACAGCAGTTTAAGGTAAGAAATCAGCAGCATGGATAATCAGCAGCACAAAGTGCCAATCCCAATTAAAGTGGCATTATAGTGATTTTCCTGGATTTAGGAGTCTAACAGCTTCAGGGTAGAAGCTGTTCCTCAGTCTAGTGGTTCTACATTTAATGCTCCTTAACCTCCTTCCTGATGGGAGCGGAGCAAAAAGTGTGTGTGCTGGGTGAGTGGGGTCCTACACGATGCAGGTGGCCCTTTTCCTGCATCTGGAGGTGTAGATGTCTGTGATGGTGGGAAGACCGACTCCAACAGTCTTCTGTTCGGCCTTCACCACTCTCTGCAGAGCGTGATGAATTGTTGCAGTTTAGCAGCACCATTCTATTGTCTCTTATGCAAGAGCTTTTCATCTCAAAGACTATACAAAAATGTAGATTCCCTGAATCTGACTTAGGTAAATACAGCAATCTTAAATTTTACCTTTCTGTTACTTCATTTTATTGTTTTCTTCTAAACAAATGCTTTATTTCTAACCTTATACAAAACCAGGGATACTCTGAATCCACAGAGGAAGATTTTCTCGTCTGGAGTATGGACAGTGTGACTGACTGGACCATCATACCTGTATGTTACGCAGTCTCTGACCAGGGAGGCCAGTGCTCCATTTCTCTTCCTTCAATAGTCTACCGTGAGTCAATAGTTTTAACCTTCCATCTTGAGATAGTATACATCAAGCTTTTCATAGCTTATGTGTCACCATCTCCACAGAGCCTCCAAGCAGAGTCTCCATCAGAATCTTAAATCACACTGGGCCCATGTTTGAGGGACATCAGTATCCTCTGCAGTGCACGGTCCACGACGTAGCACCTGCTGCAAGTGTCACTGTGACCTTCTATAAAGGAAATGCAGCACTGGGTCAACTCCGGTCCAATAACATCACAGAGAGGACACCAGTAAGTGCAAACTACACTCTGATCATCACTCCCTGCAAAGAGGACGATGGAAGTCAGTACTGGTGTGAAGCCAAACTAGATCTGGGACCTGAAGGGCCACAACATCCCTCAGTGAGGACGTTGCAAAACCTCACTGCTCTGATCCTCTGTGAGTAAATCAAGTGTTAGAAATGTTAATCCAGCACAAGAAACAATTATATTATCACTATACAACACAAACAGTGTAAACTGTTTCCTTCCCTCTCAGCAGCTCCAGAACCAATCAGTCCTAAAAAGCTACAAATGAAAGACACAGAAAGTTTACAATGTGAAGTAAAAGGAAACCAATTAGGAGGAAGTGGTAGGTTTCAAACTGTAAATCAAATCAGAAAGTTAAGCTCATATTTTTAATGTTTTTTTTTTTAAGCTGTAACAATTTTGTGCCTTTCTCCACTTCAGGATTTATTTTCCATGAAGTCATTTTAAGGTTACCCTGTGCTGATGAAATCATTTCCTTTTCCTAGGAACTGCAAACAGCTGTAACAGATGTTTCTTGTTGACCATTCTTCTTGCTCAGATAATCTACAGACTCCTGGAAGTGTAAGATCCTCGACAAACTGCTCCTGATGTGGAAAAAGCTTGTGGACAAGTTTGATTTAAAAGCCTTTTTTCTCTTTTGCATCTTCAACATCACAAAAAAAGGACAAGTGTCAGAAAGACATTCTCTTCTGTAGAGCCACCTGCCAGGTACATGTTCTGACAAATAGAACGGTGTTGTATGTTTGAAATTTCTATATGCTGTACTGGAATAAATTTAAAAAAATGTACATAAAAGGTTACTCTTCTGCATCCAAATTGTGTTTCATCTCATCTACATGCAAGACGGACAGTTTTGGCTCGATTTGAATCACAATTTTATTTTCTGTGCCATTACATCAAACAATATTTTTAGATTTCCTGAATAAAAAGGAGTGTTAAACAGATGGAAGGCGTCTGATTAGCTGTTTTTTTCTTTTTTTTTTTTTTACCTGGCACTTTAAATCAAACATCTTCACTTTGGTCTCTTCTGTCTAGATATTTCCAAGAACAATTGTTGTTCAAATTAATCTTTGTTGCACTAAACACTTGAGATTCTTTCAAATTTCACATTTTAAAACAAAGTTCAAAAACTAGTTAAATTAAAAAAAATAAAGAAAAATCTGAAGTTTAACTGTCTGCTTATTTTGACATCTTTATTTTTAAGCCTAGGACAAAATTTGACCAACATTTCAACACTAACATGTACAAACTTTTGTTAAAGATCTTAAGAAAATGTCACTATCCCTCACATCGTCAGTGAAACAAGGTCCCACACTTTAAAAACAGTAATGCACATTGTATAAAGTGCTGCTTATTAAATTTATGAGGCTAATAACGAGGAGGGATCAGGTTAAACTCCAGGATTTTACTTAAGACCTTTAACCCCTCGATAAGTTTTCATCTTTGTTAAATATTTTAATGCTGGGGTTATCAAAATGTTCAGCTTCAAGTCAAAATACCAAAAGCAAATTACTGATTAAAAGTAGAAAGACGCCAATTAAACCAGAGCATTGAGACAAAGCAGTCACACCCCTTAATGTATTATTTTTATCCATTTGACAAAAAAAAAAATAGCTTAAGCATTTATAAACTAAATTAGACATTTTAAAACCTGCCACTTTGTGTTACATTTCCCCACAGTGGAGCCCGTTACCATTTCAACACAGTAAATGTACCCAAAAGGCGACTTCTGTTGTATTTTCTGTGCATGTGTGTACAGCAAGGTCATCAGCGCTCCTCCACACCTGGCCAGCATCCACGTCTCACTGCTCTGACTTGCAGCAGATGAGGCAAAACAACTGGACAAATGCTACTTTCAGGGAAATCGACAGGGCTGGACTGAGGAGGTGGAGGAGGAACAGGACTTCTGTCCTCACTGAAGTTCCAATGCTTTCCTACAGCTGCTGCTAAAAGTTCTTGGGAAAGTGTGGCAGAGTACTCGTGAGCCAGGGCTTGCTCAGCAAGGATATCCAGGAGTGAATGTGCAGGAGCATTCACCGAAAGTCTGTCACTGTTGTCAGCTGACGAGGAAAAGGCATCGGACTCCATTTTCAACTGTGGCTGCTGATCAACACCACTGGAGAGGTGTGAAGCTTCAGCGAGGATCTCATCTGGTCCTGTGGAGACTTCAGTCAGTGCTGGAGCGCGCTGAAGATTGTTGCCACCGTCTGATGATGTGGAAGCATCAACAGTGGATGACTGCCTCTTCAAGCTCATGGCCTTATTTACCCTAAACACACAAAAACATTCACTTTAGTTTTAAATATGCTGCAAACAAAACTTTTCAGATGGATTTGTTGAACTCACGGTAATGTGGTAAAAAGGTCTAACAACTTCCTGCTCTCCCTCATCAGCACCCTGAATTAAAAAAAATAAATAAATAAAAAAGTTTCCACAGTTGCACATGTAGAAATGTTTTAAGATTGAAAGCTCAGGTTTTGCATACCTTAACTGCATCCATCCTTTTGGCCAAAGTGGTTTCACCTCATTGTCTAACAGAGTTTTAACACACTCTTCAATGTCTTGGTGCTTTTTGCCATCCTTTTTACATTTCTCCATTTTCTCCTTCAGTACACGATCCAGGCATTCCCTGCACAATGAAGCATAATTATATATTTTTTATTAACTTCTGGTTTAAGTGGTATCCATGTACCCAAGAAACCATTTAAAATACCTAATTTCCTGATTCCATTTAAACAACTTCTTCGGACCTCCTCTTCTAACACCTTTGTCCTCGGCAGTTTCCTCTTCAGTTGACCTGATGGAGACAAAGTTACAGATGAAGAAACTCGAGGCCTGTAAGGTCCATGTCTTTAGTTGTACCCTCCAAAATCCAACAGTGAAGTCAAATACAATATACATCTACAGTTTGCTTTAACTTGTAATGCAGATCTACAACTCCAGTTGGGACTTCTACACTTAAGATTGCATTTTTACAATATCAAAGTCTTTGTGAAATTATAAAATTTGTAGACTAAAGTTTGTGATGAAAGGGCAAGTTGGATAATTTACTTTTCTCCATCTGCCATCAGTGCTAATGAACTTACTTTGAAGTCTTGAGGTGTTCATGTGCTTGACAGTTTTCAAGAAAGCGTGCCACCTGCTCCGGCATCGATCTGTCAATTGCCTCCTTCAGTTCCTGAAGGGAACCTTCTAAATGAAGCGGCTCCTTTATAGAAATTAAAGAAACAAGTTATGAATGCATAAAGTATGAACATACTGTACAACCCAAGACCTTGATTGATTGATTTGAACCCCAAGCACACTCGCCTCATGCATGACCAACAGCTTCTTCACTCGTTTTAAAAGCGTGTCTTTGCTGCAAGGCATGAACGAGGACAGGTGTCTGTAGACTTTGGAGCGGAGCTGGCCGCTTTGCTCCTGACACTGCAACTCAATACTAGACCAAAACACGAACTTAATGCACTCCGTGTATAATGACGACCAAACCATCCACTGCTTTTTCTAGTCTCCTTCAGTAAGAGGTCATTCATGCTTTGTAGGGATGCACGATATTGGATTTTTGGCCGATATCCAATACTGATATTTTTGATATGCACTTCCCTTTGTCAGAACATAGCCCTCTTATTTAGGCTTATTTGCTATAAAAAATTGTGTAACAGCTGTAAGAGCTGGCAACACATTCAGTAACAGCCATATGCATAGCACTTTTAACTTATATTACTAATAATTTCACTGTATTCCGGTACAATGGTGAAGCTTATTCTGATATTAAATGAAAAGTGTTAAATGTTATTTATTAGCATTAGTCACCTGTGATGCCGTCTCACTTGTGGAGGCTTGTTCCAGGTTCCTAGCTGCAGTGTGGGATCCTCTGCACTCTTTGCAGGAAGGACAGCCTTTTTAAGTTCAAAGTTCTTGTCTATCCATTGTGCCGCAAGACTAATCATGCTAACGGGGCTAACACAACGTCCAAATGTCTGGTCAAACCCAAGTGCTATCAGCTATTAGCTTCTCAATGACGTCAGAATTGACGGCTTACAACTTGGGTAAGACTACGTCGGATAAATATCTGAATAGGGACGAAGTAGCGAGGCTCAACGTAGTCCGAAAATCTTCGGAATCAGACATCCTTGACAAAAAATAAAAAAACCTTCCACACCGCCGACATTTTGACTTCTTCCTTTCCGCCGTGATCAGATCAGGTAGGCGCGTGTGACGTCATCACGTTGCGCTGCAGGCATCCGTGTCACTGGGTTGTCATATTAAAGCAGAGTCTTTTATATCGGTGAGTTTTTTTATGGAATGGACGATGTCCGATATTTAACTTTAATGCCAATATCGGCCGATACCGATACCATGCCGATAATATCGTGCATCCCTAATGCTTGGTTCTATTTACTTTGGCCAATAAAATAGAGTTTAGCACATCCAGTGAAAATGGCATCGGATCCCATATAAAATACATTAAAATGGCAGTTTTAAGAATCCAGATTTTTTTGTAATAGGATAACTCACTCCAGCAGGATTGAGTTGATAACTGGATTAAAGAACTTGAGTTTCGACTCCCCTTCAGATGTCTTGGCAGCCTGAAACATTTGTTTAAACATACACCCAGCATTTGTCAGTCTTTCAGCACACACATTTACCTTGGGATTAACAAAATAAAATAAAAGCAAAGCACATCTCTTACCACCATGAGACTTCTTATGCTGTCTTCCAGAGCTGAGGGAAGTCCCTCGGGCAGGAGGGCGCACTGAGGTGGCAACGAACTGGGTTCAGCCAGCAGCTGGATTTGCTCCGGTTCCATCTTTGGCAGAAACGCGAGTTTTTGATTTAAAACTTTGGGTTTAGCATCAGACAAAATATTCAGCTGGGACTTATCCGCCCTGGTTTGGGTAAGCGGAGTCTCTATAGCCATTTGAGGGTGTGGTTTTGGAGACAAATTGTCACTGACGTCTAATAAAGAGTCCAAATCAATATCAAAATCCACAGTGTTGGCAGCCTGGATTAGAGCGTGATCGTTGGTGGAGCCGATTAAACTGAGAAGAGGGTCAGTTAGACCGGAGCCTCCAGCTGCAGCTGCCTCTGCAGGGAACACGGGTGCTGTGGTTGCATTTGCGTCTACTGCCATCCGATTGGCTATCTCCATCTTCTGCCGTTCCCTTTCCTTCTCTTTCTGAAACTTCTTCAGCATGCTGGTGACACTCAGTGTCTTTACAGCCTTTTTCTTCTTTTTGATAGTAATCTCATTGAGTCCAGTTTTATATAAAGTGCTGCAAGAGAAACGTGAGTGAAGTCAAATGTTTTAATACGCACGGCGTCTCCCGACTTTCACAGAAGTTGTTGGTTTTTGGTGGGCTCACCTCAACTTTTGATTAGCGCTCTTCACTTTTCCTCTTGCTTTACAAGACGCCTTTAGCTTCTGATTTTCACCGACGACTTGCAGCTTCTGAGAATTACCAAAGTTTAGAACTAAATATGGCATGAATTTTTTTTTTCAAGGGTATTAAATTGATGAAGTGGTGCTGAGAATTAAAACCTACTTTCTGAAATTGCAAAGTGACTTTATTAAAAATAAATTTGGCTCTCAAGTGACATTCCTTACCATTGTAGGCTCAGATGTTCCCTCTTCCGTTGAGAAGTCATCAGTGTCGGAGGCCTGACGGAACTGCAGCACACCTGAATTCACGTAGAATCCACCAAATTTTGTTGTGATCGAAGACGGCACAAACTCATCATACTGTAGAGTATGAACGTGATGATCAATTAGATAAAAGGGCAAACAAACATCGAGTGTTTTGCTTCAAAAGCAGCAAAAATATTAAAGAAATGAAGGTTGACTCAAGACTTTTGCACAATACTGTATATCAAACCAAGAAACTGTCAGGGGCAAGTTTGAACAACAAGATGGATCAATGCATCTTCACTAAATTTATATTCATGTTAGTTTAAAACTGAAGAACAAACAAAGTATGAAATTCAGCAGATCAGGAAAAACAACACAAAAGGCAACGGTGAATGAAATAAAGTGCTCATAGCCCCACAAAATAAAAATTACTGCTTTAACTTTCTTTAAATTTTTAAATATATTGAACAACATTCAGCCTTAAGATGAGTTTACATCAACTCACAGCTTCTGAGTTATCAATGAAAGAATCCTCTTCATCATAACCGTATCCAATATCAACCAAGTCCTGAATACGGTCCTTCTTTTGCTTGCCACCCTTTCATCACAAGATCCAAAATTAATATTTAAAAATGATTTTTTTTTTTTAAATAAAAGGTTGGAATGTAAGTATATATTGTTAACATATTCACATCAGGGCTACTTACATATTTTTCCTCCAACTTTCTTGCAATGGCAGCATCTTCTTCCTGTGGTCCAGATCTGCTCAGTGTTTTCTTCATCTAACAACATTTGACATTGAGCATTTAAAGCAAAGTGAAAAACGTCTTGTTTGCCAAGGATCACATGACATCAGCCTTTTGATGCCCACACACACAGACCATCACAGGATGACCACTATAATCAATATTCTGTAGGAGAACTGCTGAGTCATCAACAGCCCATTATGTTTAAATACTGTATTTATTTTAAGATCAGGATGAATAAAATGGACTTTTGTTAAATAACCTATGTTTTTTTTTTTACAAGTCAACCCAGAGTTACTTCAGTTGACTCAAGTCCAACTTTAACGTCGTCAAGGAAACGTGAAGGAGACAAGTTTCCCACCAGTGTCTTCCAGCCTCGTTAACCACAGGATGTGTGAGCCCACCTTGTTGTCAAGAAGCTGACAGTAGCTGAACTCCGGACAGCTCCGCTCGTCTGGCTCAGACAAGGTGAGGACGAGTCGCACTGTCCGCTCCGAACGGTCCTCTGTCCCCTGCGGGACACCTGTCCCCGAGGACAGCTTCTTTTGGACAGAAGCCGGTCCGTCAGTGAAGTGGGACGCATCGTAGCTCAAAGTGGTCAGCTGAACTCTCCGAGACTCTGCCATGGCAGCAGGACAGAACAGAACCCCCGAGTGGTTCCACAAGAACAGCGTGATTAACGAGAAGTGGACACAGGTGTGCGCGGGTCGCTGGTCACGTGCTCAGCGTCACGCCTCCAACAGATCCAGCAGGAAGTCTCACTGCTGAACTGTTGCGTTTCCTGTGAAAATGCACACTGAAGAAGAACTTGCTGAAAAACAGCTGAAATTAGATGAATGTAGCTAAAATGAAAGAACAAGCCTAACATAGCAGAAGAAAGCAGACACGTTTGCTTAATTTGGTTTAAATAAGCAGAAATGAGCACAAAAATAAGGAAATTAGCTTTCGAAAAAAGATGAAATTATCAAAAAATAAAATAGCTGAAAAGGCAGAGAGAAGCTTAGAGCTAAAAATGTTGAATTAGCGTAAAAAGCTACATTTAACATAAAACAGCTAAATAAGAGCTGAAACAGAAGAAAAAGCTGAAAGGAACATAACAAGCTGACATTAGCAACAAGAAGCTGAAAGTAGCAGAAATGACCCCCCAAAATTGAATTTATCTGAAAACAGTTTAAATTTGTTAAAACATTTTAAAAAAGTTAGCTGAAAAGGTAGAACAAGCTGAAATTAGCAGACGAAATCAGAAATAACACCTTTGCCCAATTAGGCTGAAAGAAGCAGAAATTGGCATAAAAAGTGGAAATTATCAGAAAAAAGCTTAAATTAGGACCAAAAAAAGAAACTGCTGAAAAGTAGCGAAAAAGGCAGAAAGAAGCTTCAACCAGAAAGAAGCAGAAAGAGCTGAAACGAGCTAAAAAGAAGTTGAATTAGCTTAAAAAGCTAAGTTTAGCATACAACAGTTAAATAATAGATGAAACAACAAAAAAAGCTGAAACTAGTAGAAGAAAGCTGAAAGGAACACAACAAGCTGAAATTAGCAGAAATAATTTAATTAGCCAGAAATTACCACACACACACAAAAAGGACTTTATCTGAAAACAGCTGAAATTAGCTAAAACATGTTAAAAAATTGAAAAGGTAGAACAAGCTGAAATTTGCAGAAGAAATCAGGAAGAACACATCTTGGCCCAGTTAAGCTAAAAGAAGCAGAAATGAGCACAAAACAGTGGAAATTATCTGACAAAAGCTTAAATTAGCACAAAAATAAAAACAGATGAAAAGTAGATAAAAGCAGAAAATTACCAGAAGTGGAGAGAGTACATTTTTTTCTGAATTAGGCTGAAAAAAGTTTAAACGAGTGCTAAAAATGAAGACTCAGCTGAAAAGGCTTAAAGTAGCATAAAACAGCTAAATAGCTGAAATAAATGAAACTAGCAAAAATAAGCTGAAAGGAGCATAACAAGCTGAAATGAGCAAAAACAAGTTAGAAGAAGCACAAACGTTGTAGTTAGCAGAAATAATTTGTAAGGAGCACAAAACAGCTAAAAAAAAACTAACAATTGAAATTAGCTGAAAGTGACAAAATGTCTAAATTTGCAGAAGGAAACTGAACCAGAACAAAATATGAAAGGAGTAAATGAGCTCAGTTCATTTTCTATTAGAAAAAGTGTCAGAAAATGCTAAATATTTCAAAAAGCTAAAGTTGCATCAATACCAAAAGTTATAGCAAGACTGTCCTGAAAGAGCTGAACATTTTGATATTTGTTGAAATAGCACAAACACTGTTGAATGAGAAAACTGCTGAAAAATGGATGGAAGAAAAATGCATCGCCGGTGCCCAAGTCCAGCAATCAGTGTGTGTGGGGCGGGGTACACCCTGGACAGGGCGCAAGTCCATCACAGGCCCTGCTCATAACAGAAAGGCAGAGTGAGCTGCAGTACACATTAATCACCGCCAGAGGGTGCTGAAGCTCAATTTAAAACAAAAATCCAAGAGAAACGTTTAAAGTTGTTGGACCAAACATAAAGGTTAGATGAGTCTAACTGCAGACAACATATAAAAATGCTTCTCATCATGATGAAATGTGCTCAACCAGTTAACAAACATACAAAATTTTGGTGAATAAAAAAAAATAATAAAAAAAATAAAAACAAGCTTTTCTCAGCTCATATGGTAACAAAATCAGTAATTTAAACTTTTAGTTCTGTTCAAGTTTAGAAAATGCAGGATGTCTGTATGTCTGATGTTAAGTCAAAACTTTTTTGTTTGTTAAAGCGAGAGTTTAACCAAATAGGGGGGAATGATCAAATCTGCAAAAACTATTGCAGAAAGCAGGACATTGACTTTGGCAAATACAAAAATAAGATAATTGCAATCTGTCACCATAGATTCAGTGTTAATCTATTACAAAACACCCACTCCATACCTATTTCCCTCTACATCCTTGATCTGCATAACACACACACCATTTTGTAATTATAAATGAATTTCAAGGTATGAAGCTTTTAATGCAAATAATATGGCTCCCCCCCCTCCTTCCTCACCAGCAGGAGTGTGTTGGTGCGAGCACGAGCATGGAAGGGATCAGGTTGCAGACAAGCTTTGTTTAACCGTCCTTCCCTTTCAAACGAGTTAATGGGATGGAAGTTAATCACCCCCCCAAAACTACATCTGTAAGGTTGAACAGAAGTGCTGAATTAAAGGAAGAGGAGGGGGGAAATGGGAACGAGGGGAGGCGTCAATAAAAGTGCAGGACACAATGAACTAAATACACCAGAGCAGGACAAAGACAGACAGATGGAGACGGCAGGGGTGTCATGGGTCTGTGTGTGTATGTGTGTGTGTGTGTGTGTGTGTGGGGGGGGGGGGGGGGGGGGGGGGGGGTGATCTGGTTGGAGACAGAGACCCCATCAGTGGAGGATCAGAGCAGGGAAATTGGAGGACAATGTTGGAAGAGTGGTGTGGGGGATAATTTAAAGCGATTGGGGAGGCGTTGTCCCAGAGGTGCATAATTTACTCATTCATTAACTCGACCGAGCAAGAGCCAATATTAATTAACTCGATCCTTGTGCCTTTCGCCCTGCGAAACGTGTGCGTTGTTGTCAAATAGCCACAACATTCTGGCAAGTGAAGGCTTAAAACCATCAGGCCTGGCAGGCCGGAGGGTGGCAGGAGTCTTTTTACATTATAACACCAAAAAATTGACAATTATTTATAGAGTTTTGTCTCGTTTCTTATTGTTTTTTGTTCATTTCGCAACTTTACATTTTGTTGTTCTGTATTTTAAATGAAAATATTGAACTCTTCACATAAGTTTATTAAAAAAAAAGTTCCTTAATCCATCACATTATTGTCTCATAAACAAATTGTCATCTCCTTACAATAAAAATTTGACATTTCTATTTATTGACTAAATTGCTTGTGCTAATAACATTTAATACGTTTGATTTGATTAAAATATGAAAACTTTAACTTCACCAGTGATATAGATTTTTTTTTATTTAAACAACCTCTTTACAGAACGGTTTGTTGTCAGGCTTTAATGTTTGTATTTTTGTTCATTTTGTGAAGAAATCACGTCTCTCTTGTAAATGAGTCCTCGAGGCTCAATGGGATTGACCTGTCTAGATAAAGGTTGAATGAAAAGGGAAATGCACCCTAACCACATTTAAATATTACAGAAGGTATACAATATTTTTTCCACTCTGTACCTGTAATGTTTAACTGTTTTGTGATTTTCTTAACTTACATTGTATTTTATGTTTTATTGATGTATGTTTCTTTTACTTATATTTTATTTTTAATGCATTGATACTGTTTTTAAGACTGTTGCTATATGTGTATATAGCCCAGGACATCCTTGTAAAAGAGATTGATGATCTCAATGGATTTCTTCCTGGTAAAATAAAGGTTTAATAAAAAATAATATTTTTTCCACTCATTTTTTTTTAATTTATTTTTACTGTTAAACACCAACTTTCTTTCAGCTGTGTCCTTTGGGTTTGAGAGACAAAGTTGATTCTTAGCCTTTTAATTTGTGTTTTCATTATTTAGACGCATTTTTACACACGAAATAAACAAATACATAAATACAAAACTATTTTAATTAATTCTTAAAACAAAGAGGGAGTTTATTAATTAAAACGAGACAAAGCCCCAGAGCCATAACTGAGACGGTTCCTTCTTTATCACGTCTTCTTCTCATTTCGTCCACTAGGGGGCGCTCCTCCACCGACCCTGCCTCTCCTGTCAGGCTCTGCTAACTTTAATTAAGGTTTAAATTGGCTGAATTTAATGAACGTTGCCTAATTAGGCAGGATAACAGCTTTAATTGATAAGTAATTATTTGCCACAAATTGTTATTAATTCTCCAGCTCTGTCATGTAGTGTTCTAACTCTAAACCCTCCTTTATCACCCACCACCACCACCACCACCAATCCTTCCCAGCAGCATTTTTCCCCCCCTATTTATGTAAACAAGCCGGAGTAAACAATTAGGCATATGTTACAAAGGGATATTCTAGAGGGTGTCTTCAGGCTGTGCTTGGTGGACCAGTGGTTTAAGTGAATGATTTGCTTTCACAACGATTTTTAGAGCTCTAATTGTTATAACGTTCTTGTCCTTCCACCAGAACTTATAAAAGCCAACAAAACGGAAGTTTCTAAACTAAAAAGTAGAATTTTAGAGCTGATCTAAAACTGCATGAGTAATGTATTTTGGGATGAATATTTACCAGCTTCTGTGATTATTGTATCACTTTAGTCAGATTTTGGATTTTGTTTTTCTCCTTCACAGCTATATCATATACAATTGTAGCAAATACTATAATATTACATCTGTTCCAAACATCTGTCGGCTTGAGTGCCTTTTGGACATGAGCAAGCGTTTTGAGCACAATTATGTCAAATGATGACAAAAATGTTTAAATTCAATTCAGTTTATTTCTATAGCGCCAAGTCACAACAGAAGTTGTCTCATGACACTGAACAGAACCTTTCACCTACATAACAAAGCCATAACGTCATCTATCTAAGGAAACCAGCAGATTGCATTGACTCTTCACTTTGACCCAGTCTCCCATCCTGAGCAAGCACACTGGCGACAGTGGAAAGGAAAAACTCCCATTTGAACAGGAAGAAACCT